GCCATTTTGTCAGCCCTTCCAGAGTCGCAGAGAGCGTGGTAGCACTCGGACCCCCTCAATAATGATTCCCCCTGTCTGGGCCTAAAATCAATCGAGGTTCTTAATATGAGGCTGACATTAAGATAAGCCTTTGAAAGTTATCGCCCATCTGATCCCCCAGAGTATCCTAATCCTCCTGTGCGGCCAGCAGACGCCACCTCGGCTTTCACGCAGCCGCGTTCCACCAAAGAGCCGGCGAAGGGCTCCTCATGTCAACAACGGACACAAACAATTTCGCCCCTAACCAGAAAAACGTTTCCGTAAATATGGAATAGACTAGGGATCTCTCATGTCCAGTCCTGAAAGACCGGGGTTGAGGGGTATGGTAATTCAGGGGTCTCGATTTCGTTTGGCTCGGGGTTGTTTGCTTTCGGCACATGCTCGGCTTCAGGTCTCGTAATGGTTGGAATAATTGGAGCGTGTCATGCTTTTAACGGGCCCTGGCATCTGCAATCGGGGCTGAACCATGACGGCTGACAACTGCTAGAACAGCTTAGCTGCTTCACATCTCTCGGCAGTTTGCAGGCCCCGAAACGAACAGAAGCTTTGCCCAAGCAGATCTAGAAGATCTATCGGAATGTATCGATTGACGTCGATCTCAAAACCTAACATGCCAAAGGAGAGGCAGGTCCTTGGGAATCATCGGGGCGAGCAAACGTCGCGACAGCATGGCACACAGGACCGGAACTCTTTTCGGCCCGCCTTCGCCGGTATCTCTACAACGGCTTAGGGACGACGAAGACATTTTCATAGTGGAGACATACGAGACAACCCCTTGCAATCAGCACCGTTGATGTGAAAGCTCGCGACACAAGCAGCATGCTTTGCGAAGTTGTTGAAAACGCTGCCCGGTCGCGTTTAAACTCATGTGGGCTGGAAATGGCTGAAACTTCGTGGCCCTCTCTTCAGCTCTAGGCCTAGAAAAGGTGCAGATCCCATCTGTGAAGTCACACAGCACCACTGTCACCGGCTCGGGGGATTGCACTTCGGCATGTTGGGGCAGCTGCGGGCTCAAAGATACTCGGCCAAGAGTTGGTGTCGTTTTGGGTGCCCGGCCGCTGAGGAGGAGCCCATCCCTTTGGCAAAAGGGATGCGATTCCTTAGACTCTCCGAAACATCGAACTTGAAGCGCAGCATCGTCAGGCAGGATATGCTGATCCAGCTGGGCCCCACTAAGTTGCTCTGCCCTACGACTCGGGGTGGAGACAACGCCGGTGCCCGTTCTTTTGGGCGACTCTCACTCACTCACTCACTCAAGTTGCTCAAGTGAGGCATCGAAGCAAGCAACATCGAAGCACTGATGTCACATGAGCCAATCTTCTGTCTTCATCTCGGATGAGCAAGAAGAGTGATGTCATGCATGCCGGGGTGCAGCGTGTAATATCGAAGCGTTGGCACCTCGGAAGTAGTAATGGCGTGAGCTTCAGTGATCCGTTGCAAGGCCTTTTGCGCAAGCATTTGTGACTAGGAGCTGCTCATCTTGCCATGCCACACCCTACAGAAAAGCTAGCCATCGCCAAAGCGCACCCAAGAGCAGCGAATCAAAATGCATCCCCGAACCCTTCCCCATCGCCCTCCAGCGGGCCTCTTGGTCGATGAACTTGTAGGCCGCTTCCACGCCCTTCACCACCTTGACTAGAAGGATCGAAGCACCATGTGCAGCTGGGGCATTTGCTTGCTCTTCAATGCTTTTGGGGGATTCGGGTGGGTTCGCCGCATGCTGGCGTGTATAAGTAGTGCACATTTTAAACCCCCTGTCATTGGCTAGGCTAGTGTACCGTGCCTGCAGGCCAGTTCGTAGCAACTGGGAATGGCAAGTACGGGAGCAACAGGAAAACAGTCTCTGACCTTCCTTCATTTCCCAGCTGGTGCGTTTGTGGACGCCTGTACAAAGCCCACCAGCTGCACGCCAAGCTCGCGGCTAAGTTGGACTTGTCCCGGGGCAACAGGTGTGCGCCTGCACCAGCCCATGCTCGTTTTCTGACTGCCCGAGTCGCGAGGCTCGGCTCAGCAGCCCCGTTAAGTTTGTCTGATATTTGAGGCCGTCGGCCCTGGACCAGTAGATGAACCTCCTACAATTCTTGCCGTGCTTTGTCACTGTTTATTGTTCTTGCCGCCGTTCCTGCTATCTCGGGTGTTGCTGCTGAACATGACAGCATCATCCTTACGGCCAATATTTTATCGACGACGACGATGACCCCACGGCCATAGCCGCACAACTGCCGCCACTTCTACAACCACGAGCACTGTACTAGTCAGACTGACACTGAGATCATGTCCGTTAGTACCCTTCATCTCCTTGCTGGTTTCCGTGCCTTGCCACAGCTTGTATCAGCCAGATGAAAAGCGCCAATGACCCCTGTATGTCGCAACTGGCCTTCGCCCTCTATCCTTGGCTTCCGCAGCGCTTGGGCAATCAAAGCTCGCGAATTTTGGGCGCAAGCACTACGAAAACAGCTCCAACAAATGGGGCGAGAACTCAAGCGACGGACAGGCTGAATGCACAAAGACGCAATGCTCGAGCAGCAGGGCACTTTGTGGCATGATAGGCTTTTAGGGTGACCGCCAAAAAACGCCTAGAGCCTTACTGTTGAAATGACGTGATTACTTCTGCTACCGTTATAACTGGTTATGAACTAAACACTCCTTTCCAAAGAGCATTTGCAGGCGGCAGCCTGGTTTACGGTATACGTGGAAGCTGCAAGGCGGCTGAGAGGGCCCTTTAGTGAATGTTCGGGGCAGATTGTCGGGCAGAGACGCAGGTGTCAGAAGTCACGAGGCCTTGGGAAAGATTTCTGGAAAGTCTTTCCGTCAAGCCTGATGTTCAGTTCACGCGCTGCCTGCCAAAGAGGAACCAACCACCACTCCGTGCAACAGTCTGAACCTGTCCCTCTAGAAGTCTAACTTGGCGAGTAGCTCCATAGCGAAGTGTGGGGCACGCTCGACGGTCAGCTGGCACAAAGGGAACATTCCAGAGGAATGCTGGGTGCAGATCGACCGACCCTTCAGGAATCTGTGCGACTCATCGTCAAGCCGTCCAAGTTCATAGCTCCCAAGGCCTCTAAACGAGCCCGGTGGATGGCCATAATGGAAATAGCACAACGGCGCAAGACGCGAGTCCAACTCCCCACACAACTTCGCGCCTCGTTCCAAACATCAAGCGCCTCGGGTGCCACGGATCATAAGCAACAACAAGCCTGCTCTCCGGTCTACAGAAATCTCCGCAACCAGGAGTCATCGAAACCTGCCGCATGCCTTAGTCCAGCGCCATGCCAGCGCAGTCGAAGCCTGGTCCCATGTTCCTTGTCGGGGGCCCGAAGGAAGCTGTGATGTCTCGAGCTGCTGACAATTTGAAGGGCTCCCAAAAAGTGTCAACGCTTGGCCCAGGCACGCCGTGGTCGCAGGCACCCGCACGGTGACCCGCCTCAGCGACAGACCCCAACACGCCACAAGACTCTGTATGCCAAACGCGCAACACGTCAACCAGAACTTCTGAGTTTGCGCAATGTGGAGCCCGTTTGTGCCGGGCCAGCTCCATAGGTGTACCAACCCTCTGACCGTTTGTGGCATTCCACATGACATGCGCACCTGCGCAATTATTCTGACAATGGAGCAACCGAGCATCCAGGCAAGTCCCGTGATCGTGACACAGGTACGAGAAGCTTTTTTGGAGTGCGGGCGAACATGCAATTGACGTCGCATCCCGAACTACAAAGACAAATCAGCCCCCCCAAAGCCCTACAATCCCCTAAGCTGCTGAAGCCCGAACCCTGCAGGTTGAGAACTGGAGAGATGCAGCTGCGGCTGCGGCTTTCGACTTTTTGTGACTACGCCATCGAACATCTTCTTCAGATCCGCCTTTGCGAGCCTGCGAGGTTCGAGGAAACTCAGAGTTGCTTTTTGGGTCTTGGAGTCGTGGACTCTTGCACTCTGACGGGCCAGGCGAGGTTCTCTCGGTGGTGACACAGGGGGGTTACAATTTCACAAGTCGGACAATCCATGAGAGGTCTCAAGTGTAGTCGGTGTGAAGACTAGTTAGTTTCAGGGCCCTTTGGGGGTTCACGTGATGTTCGGATCCGGGTCATGCCGAGCCCTGGCAGTTTCAAGGAGGCCCATGGGGCTCAGCCGATGCTCGCTGCTTCTGAACCCTGCACCCTTGAGAGCTTCCTCCAATAAGACTTATGACTCAGGTGGCGGCTCGCTGAGACTGTGCTTCTCAGCGAACTTTTGCACCTTCACAGAGATATGATGAACGTTGTGGTTTTCAAGATGCTTCACCATGTGCTACAACATGCTACGAGGGTCAGGTGCCAAGCAAACCGCACAATGCACCTTGCATGATTGTTCGCAAAAGAAAAACGTGGTAGCACTAGATCCCCTGATCTCCAAAGGAGTCCGGAATCACCCTCCTCTCTCCATAGTAAAGGCTTGTCAGCTGCTTCAAGTTCGATCTCCAATAGGTTGAACGCATTCCACCTCCCCCCCTGGGACACAAACACACGCAGCTGGAACACTATGCAACATGGAAAGCCGGGGTCATTCAAGGCCTCGCTGTGCCCCCACATGGCCTCGAGAAGAGACAGGGTCAATCAAGCTTTCAGGACTCTCGTGGGGTTTCGACTCTCACACACTCGCACAAGGCAGGCANNGGTCCGAGCTTGCTACATGAACATCGGAAGCTCGCAGGGTTTAGGAGTGTTCCTTAGCCGAACGACTTGAGCAGCCGATGCCTCCCAGGCCAAGAAGAGAAGCGAAGAGAGCCTCGCTTTGGACGGGTCCGACAAGAGTGAATTCAGGGCTGGGAAATGAGGTGCTGTCCGACACCATTACCTTTGCCGCATGATTATCAATCTGTGGAACTTTTCCTGGCAGTTGCCAGCACGAAGATGATGGTGCGACGCTAGATGCAGACCTGCGTGAAAGTCAACTGCCTAGCCTCAAAACGAACAAATACTTCTAGGCCTGGCTGAACATGAATCTGGAAGGCCGGACAAGACGAAGGGCTAGCGGCTAGCATGTGGGGTGCGTACACGGCACACTACGACTTCCAATGGATCGCACGAATGATCATAAGGTGACGGATGAGACTATGCGACAATGACACTCGAAACCCAGGCACTGATGAATTTAATGGGAAACATCAAGCCGCCTCAAGAGATCATACAAATTACTGTCATTGACCGGAAACTTACAATGTGGAGCACTGACGGGGCAAATGAACACATGACAGTGACAGTGTAGCTCCAGCTCCGGGAAGGCTCCCCCACAAACCCTAAACCCCTAAACC